GCCAGCGGAAGGGTGGGTGTGACCCCCGAGGACAGGCCTGCGCCAGTCGCCCTGGAGCGGGGCGGCGAGTGGACAGAGGGAAGCCAGCTCATGTGGGGTCTTGCCACGGCCGGCCTGAGTCAAGGGGAGCACCCATGTCCCCGGGGCGGGTTCCCACGCAGAGGACCCGAACTTCCCTAGGTCACGAGCGGAGTGACCCTGCTCAGTTCGCTCTCGGAGGGGGAGAACTGTGACGTAGTGGGGGTACTTGCTGGGCTGTGGTGACCCCTGCTGTCTGGAGCAAGACCCAGCAGGGAAAACCTCGCTAGGCAGAGGTAATGCCAAACTTGTTGAACCAGTGGCCAGACACCCCCCGTAGTGGGGGTACTTGCTGGGATGTGGTGACCCCTGCTGTCTGGAGCAAGACCCAGCAGGGAAAACCTCGCTAGGCAGAGGTAATGCCAAACTTGTTGAACCAGTGGCCAGACACCCCCCATGGAGAGGAACAAAGGAAGGTGGAATGCGGCCCTGACTGGGGGGGCAGGGCTGCAAGGGAATTTAGTTAGTTACTGTGGGAGAGCATGGAGGAGAGCCTAGGAGAAGGGGCTGGAGTTTAGGGGCCCAGTCTCCCCCATCTCAAGGGGGCCTGAGGCATCCTAGCCCAGCTCTGTGACCAGACTACATCTGTGCTGTATCCTGGAGAGGCAATAAACTTCCTCTATTCCACCGGCTGGTGCAGTCTGTTTGTGCCATTTCGGGGTGCAGGAGACGGGGAACCCCCAACGCGCCGTCACAGTATTTAGCTTACTCATGCTGATAATCCACCCATTTTGCAATGAGAACGAAAGCTAAATCTCTCAAATGCCAATAGTCCTCCAGTGTCTGCCCACAATTCATTTGTGTGTTCAGGACAGTCAAGATCTCCTACAATTCACTGGGAAACAACTGCGGAGTTCACCTCAGTTTCCTGCAACACAAAGAACCATGGGAAGTGCCCCCAGAAATCGTAGTGAGACCCAGGGTATCACCAGTGAGGACACAGTAACTTCAGGACGGCTTTGCAGTGACTGGGCTCATACCCAGGTGAGGCTAAGATGGGTGCTCAGACCTAGGTACTGACAACCCAAGTTATGTAGTGAAGACATACTTAGAGTGGTTGTCTTCTGTTCTGAAATCATGAAGATTCACATCCCAGGAAGTAATAACTGTGGCTATTTTAAACATAATAAATGTTTAATTCCCCTAAATCATTGAGCTCAGTGAAATATGGTGGCAATGAGTTCCACAGATTAAGTTCTACATTAAAAATACATTTATTTTATCAGTTTAACCTGGGGTGGGCAAAGAGCCCTTAAAAGGCCAGAGCCAGCCTGTTGCTCCCCCACCCCCAGGACAATCCAGACCTGGGGATGGG